AGTTGATAGAGCAATTTTTATTCTTAACTTCGAAAGTGGCAACTTCATTGCGGAAAATGATCCACTCTAAAATTGATGACATCTATGTTATTTGAACTAATGACATAAATAGCGTAATTTCCCTCTATCAGTTACTAAAGTTTACTTTTGAGCATTCTTTGCCAAGTAAAGATACGCGTTTAAAATTCATTCATTCCTAAAGTCATTGAACATTTGCAAGTTTTACTTTACTCCTAAGTTAGTCTTCTAATCATTCTTGGTTCAAGATGGGTGCAGTTATATTTACTCGGTAAATAAAAGCTTTCTGTATTCATAATAATTATTTCCCCATTTCCAAATTCCTATCCAATAACACAATTGAGAAACTGTTTTCTGTAGTAGTTAGCTCTGTGAACCTGAAAGCACTGGTTTTTATGAAAATAATGAGAAACTCAGATTTGCCCAAATAAGTAGCAAAAAACTAGGGCATCCTCTTGACAACCAAATTGATACGTTCAGAAATTATTTATAAACATGTTGCGAGTTTCAGGAAATAAAATATTTTGTGTATTTTAAATTTCCAAAAGAAATTAAATCATGAGAAATAATTTCCAATATTATGTGTGATATTGGGGGTGATTATTAAACAGGTTAGACTCCCCCTTCATGGTGCATTTTGTGGATTATTTGATGCAAAGGGTTAAAAAGATTGCTGTAGAAACTCATGAGAAATACTTTCCAATATTATGTGTGATATTGGGGATGATTATTAAACAGGTTAGACTCCCCCTTCATGGTGCATTTTGTGGATTATTTGATGCAAAGGGTTAAAAAGATTGCTGTAGAAACGTATTTTATTAATACACTTTCTTGTAGTTATTCCTTATTGAGAAAGATAGCCAGGGTTTTTGAGTTAGATAAAAGGAGCTATTAGAACTAAAAACCCATCATTTAAGCAGGAGGAAAGGTGATTGTTGCAACTTTTGTTTTATTCAGCTCAAATTATTCTTATATACTCACCAAAAACATATTTTACTTTAAAGTTAAATTTGAAGGCGTAAATCTTAGCTTGTTCTTTTATTCATAAACACTTAATCTTGTGGTAATATGTTTTAGTTTCTTTTTTTAGGTCCTGTGTCTCTTTTGAATTGTCTACAACAATGCCACTAAGTTCTATCGTTGAGCATATTGACATTGACTGATAAAGTGTTATACCACACCCACTTGAGAATGCTCCTAGGTGAAACGGTGTCGCCTTAAAGTTGTTCACGAATAGGGTAGGAGGAAAGCTGTTCCTTTTTGTTATGTATGCGCTCATCCGCACGTGAAAAAGTACCCAAATTGGCAATGTTTCTTACTATTGATTCATTTATTTTTTGGGTGATTAAGTCGTAGTTGGTATGAAAATTTGGGGGCGTTGACATTACAAATTTAAAGTGGACGTGTGCCTAAAGCGTTATATAATAGTGATAATTTAAACAGTTATCAAAGTATTGTTATTATTTTCTGCTGTTTTGACGAGGAATACTTATTGCGATATTTATTCAACAGTATAAACATGTGTTAAAGACAAAAATATAAAACCCTATAACCCGAGCGTTTTCGAAATTAAGATGGATATTCCTTCATCAGAGGCAAACTGGATGAAATTCTCGAAAGCGCTCGAGTTATATGGTTTCGAATTTTTGTTTTTAATTACCTAACATGATGCATATATGTACATTCGTATTTGATCAATGATAAATTATGGAGTGCCTTTGATCAAGTACGTATTAAACTTTAAAATATCACTACATCTAACATGTTCTCAAAATGTTGTTGTTCTTTTCAGCAAAATATTAGCCATATACTCAATCAAATTAAATTGATAATACATATCTTAAAGTTACCAAAATAATTCATTACTTACCACCAGAACAGTTATCATCCTCATCGCTAGCGTCACCACAATGATTTACACCGTCACATCGAAATCCCTTCCATACACAGCGTCCGTTCGCACACTTAAATCGTCCATCATCATCACAATGTCCACTGGTTACATTAACTAGAATAAAACACATGTAGGATAATTTTCTGCAACAACCAAGCGTTTTCACTAAATATTCAACAAAGAACTCAACAGCGTGAATAGAACTATTGTCCACTGGTTACATTAACTACAATAAAACACATGTAGGATAATTTTCTGCAACAACTAAGCGCTTTCACTAAATATTCAACAAAGAACTCAACAGTGTGAATACAACTATCGTCCACTGGTTACATTAACTAGAATAAAACACATGTAGAATAATTTTCTGCAACAACTAAGCGTTTTCACTAGATATTCAACAAAGAACTCAACAGTGTGAATACAACTATCACGTAGATAAATTGAAATATTACATATCAATAAACTATTATATCATCATATAGTCTTAAGTGCATGATATAATAATTACCGTCAAATCAAATAACTTTTTTTTTATTTTACCTAAAAGCTTCTCTACGATAGTTTATTCAGTATAAATATCAAACTTGAAGATTTTTAAAATTCAATGTGGAACGTAAAAATTGTTTTTGATACTACCGATGTATAAACTTAGATGTTCGAAAACACAGCCCTAACTCTTTGACCATAAAAAAATAGAAACATCACCGTACAGTTCAAACAAAATAAATCTATAGATTAATTTTAGAATTTTAATAATTTTACCAAACCGTTTGTAACACCATCAGTTCTAGTCATCTTCACTAATACGCAAGTATAGTATAGAAATCCAGTTTTTTATCGACACCGAAACGTACAGAATATAATTTAAACAAAACGTTTCACTCAAACTACGCCAGCACTGTGCAGTTCTGTAGAACATACATAAGCGTCGGTTAGTCCTAAATCCCTATACTAATATAATAATACAAAATAATCACTCTAATGAAAGCATGAGAGTAATAAATATATATATATATATATAAATATGGATACAGTAAACCAATATTTTTGATGAAATTAATACCAAAGAATTAATAGACTTAGGGAATACATAAACACTGTAGTTGTTAGCTTCAACAGTCCTTCCTAAAAACGACATGTGATAAATCATAACATTGTAACTTTAAAGAATCCTGACATTTGAGATGAATTTTTACGACACATGCTACTGCTTAGATGTAGTCAACTAGATTAGACAGCCTGGGTTTGAGACTATGCTAGAGTATTTTTATTATCCGTCTGCATGGTATGTACAAAAAAAAACTTTATACTAGGCTTAAACAAACTAACAGCAACTAGAATTATTAATGTCAATGCGTAGCATAGTTAGAGTAACATAACAATATGTAAGAACACTGAGTTTGATATCCTACCCATATTAAACACTGTGACGACGGCGTTCAATCCTGTGAAATTTGATGGAACAGATCCTTCAGGCGAACTAGCGAATATCAAAGTCATATTTGGATGAGACGGCCCTGAGAGAAATTGCAGGTTATCACAGTCAGCAGCGGGACAACTAAATACGCCAGATAGCGTCACATTGTTTTCTACAGTCACGTTGTCTAAATTAGATCGTGTAGTGATAGACATAAAAGACAGGAGTAATCTGAAGCTGACAGGGGGAGCTAATATCGCGGCACATTTGATATTTGGTGTATACGCTGTCTTCGAAGGAGTTAAACTCAGGATACCTCCAGATTTTTCACCAGTCTCAGTAAAATTTAGCACATGGAGACTCCCTTTGCTCTCACATAGGCTGTATTGGGCATCTAAAGACAAGTATAAAGGAATGAGAATGTGTCACACCTATATTTCTACACACAAACGTATATACCTATTATATCAGTAGTTCACTAAAGAAAAAAGGCACCATAATTAAAGATGTAGCATCAAACGCCTCAATATTCAGGTAGTCCTAATATTCAAATATATTTTATATAATTTCTTTGTATTCTTTTCTATGGGTATTATATGAAGTTTATTTGAATTTTGTTTGTATTCTTTTCTATAGGTATTATATGAAGTTTATTTGAATTTTGTTTGTATTCTTTTCTATCAAAATTGTTTTTACACAAAACTCTCAGTTATTTTGATTTCTATGAATAGTACGAATAAAATGAGAATACAAATTTAAGCCAAACTAATGGATTTAATTATTATTTTTTACACTTTCAGACGTGTATTATGATCCAATAATCCTAGACTGACGTTATTCCCTGTCTTATAAAACTAATCAAGTCTACTTATATATCCTATACCTATAGTGGTTCAAGAATCTATAGAATATTATAACCCATTCGAGAATAAACGGTTCAGACTCTTGAATCATTATAGACCACTGTAATATATGAAGTTAGGACTCTTGGATTAATACAGCCCAGTTAAAATATCAAGTTAAAGTGTTTATGATGCTCATTATACATCATCTATATTTATGAGATTAATATTTTTACTAGTCTGAAATAGTATATTAATCTCTAACTGACACTTTTAACGGATCTGTAATGACTTAACTAATTTTGCCTAACTTGTTCGTTATACATTGATTAAAGCCTTTTCTGTGCGTTTTTGATTTATGCAAAGTTAAGTAATTATTTCAACTATTTGTAAGCAATCGTATACAAGCAGAACTTGATGTTATGAAAACTTATAAAATGTATAAATAGAAACAAGGGCTAAACAGACAGAACAATCACAGTTGGAGCAAAGCTTAGAAAGAACCTAAAAAAGTAGCTGACAGAGTAATCAGAGATGGAAGAAAGTTTAAAAAGAGGATAGGAAATAGTCTAATGGACCAATCAAAATTGTAGAAAGTTGAAAAAGTAGAGAGGAAGTAGTTTGATGGAACAATCGGAGTTACGAGAAAATTAACAAGAGAATAGGAAATAGTCTAATGGACCAATCAAAACTGTAAAAAGTTGAAAAAGTAGAGAGGAAGTAGTTTGATGGAACAATCGGAGTTACGAGAAAATTAACAAGAGAATGGGAAATAGTTTGTCAGAACAATCAGAATTGCAATAAAACTTAAAAAGAGAATAGGTTGTAGACTGACGGAGCAACCGGAATTGTAAAAAAAAACAAAAAAAACTTTAAAAGAAGACAGGAAGTAGTCAGAGTTACGAGAAAGCTTCAAAAGAGAATACTTTGTCGTCTGAAGGAGAATTCAGAGTTAAAATTAAGCTTAAAAGGTAGGTAGGAAGTAATCAGACGGAGCAATCAGGGTTATGAGAAAGCTCAAATAGAATATAGAAAGAAATCTGACGGAGCAATCAGAGTTGCAAGAAAGCTTAAAAGGAATAGGAAGTAGTCTAATGGAGCAATCAGAGTTGTAAGAAAGCCTTAAAAGGAATAGGAAGTAGTCTAATGGAGCAATCAGAGTTGCAAGAAAGCTTAAATAGAAGAGAGGGAGTAGTCTGACAGAACCAGTAAGAGTTTCACAGATGAAAAAGTTTAACTCAGATGAAGCAACCAGAGATTTAACAAAGCTTAAAGAAATGTCATTATCTAGCCAAGGGCAGTTGTGAGATGTGAAGTAAAAAAGAAAGCGATAAAATACAACAATGCAACTCAACAATGCACACTGATCGACCATATTTCACACTTTTCATCAATCTGTTTCGATTGAATTTTCTGAAACTATAAATTTAGTAAAAGTTTCCAAAATTCTTGAATTATTTTAAACACGTTTTCAATAAAGACAGCCTTTGAATGAAATGCATATTCACAATCGTTATACAGTTTTACTGTAATCTGGTAATTTGGCTTAGGTTTTAATCAGTATCACAATTAGATTTCTTTAAAGAACTTGTAAATCTATCCAGAATAACCTTCTTCTATATGTGACGTTATTTTACAATTTATTCTTGCTGCCCCCCCTCCCAGTGGCTCAGTAAGTAGCAAGTTTGAAGGCTTATAACCCTTAAAACCGGGTTTCGATACTCGTGGTCGACACAGCACAGGTAGCACATTGTGTAGTTTTGTGGTTAACTACAAACAAACAACAAATCATCCTTGTTAACTGCAGAACTTAATGGAACACCACTTACCTTTTTCTACTGGTTGACCAATACTGTGCAAAGGTTCAGATAAACTAGCTTTTGGTATGTACAGAAAACATAAAAACGTTACGACAGTTACGTCTGTCTTCAGTGTTCTTGACATTGTGATCCAGCATATATTAGGATAATGTCGATTATCTCCCTGACGTGTATTCAGAAAGTGAATAACAGAAAACGTTATCCTTGCAGGCAAAACAAAGAACGAAAGAAGTAGCTCTGGCAAAAGGAGGAATAAAATACTAATCAGAATTACACCTTTTTAATCAATGATAACCAATAAGAAACTTTTAGCTTAAGCTAAAGATGGGAAAGGGTTTGTTTATACAGATCGCAAGTATAAAGATAATGCTAAAAAGTATAAAAGCAATTTAAAGATACTAAAATTTCTAGAATATAATTTCTCAAAATAGTAAATACCCTAAGCAGTAAGCTTTTAAGAATGTTACGTAAAATCTCAGGTGCTAGTATTGTACACTTAAGATTTACTTGTAAATGACGTTTGCACTTAAATTCGCTAAGAATTATGGGAATGACTATCTCCTAATGCAATACCTATATTATATATCAGTCTTATTTTATGCAGTTACCGTTAATAGGATCTGAAAGTTACAATAATTTTGTCTAAGAGAAGTAAATATTTTGAATATTCGGGAATTATTTGAGATATTGTTATAAAATCTGCTGCTATTTAAACATCAAAAACTGACTGAAGTTCTGATAGTTCTATCAGACAGCATAATATTTGTATAAAACAGCTTACACTCAAACAGAGGTAACTCTATCGGACGACACAATCTTTGTATAAACCGGCCTGTACTCAAATAGATAGGTCTATGGAAAAACACAAACTATATATAAACCAATTTATACTCAAACAGAGGTAGCTCCATCCGATGACATAATCTTTATATAAACCAGCTTGTACTCAAACAGGCAGACCTCAATCAGACAGCGCAATCTTCATATAAAACAGTCTATACTCAAACATACATATCTTTTTCAGACGACACAATCTTTATATAAGCCAGCATATACTCAAACAGAGGTAGCTCTATCAGGTAGCACAGTCTTTAACTAAACCATCCTGTACTCAGATGCTGCTCCAGCAGACATCACAATCGAGTATAAGCTGGTTTATATAAAAAACAGAGATAGCTTTATCAGACAGCACAATATTTATATAAAGCAGCCTATACTCAAACATAATTAGTTGAATGTTAAAATCTTTATAGGTGTAAAAAAAACGCAAACATGATAGTTTTTGTCACATCGTATCATAACATTTTATTAAATTACAGGGTTTCAAGCACGCAAATATAAAACTTTTTTTTTATGTTGCAAAAAAAATATTTCTTTATCTTATTGAAAAACTGCTTAAATACAACAATAGCAATTTTATAAATCACGCTCAAGCGTTATATTCGATGACATTTACTTTGCTTAAAATCCTATTATTAGGTTTTTTTAAACCACTGTTATATGTCTACCTACTACGTAATTTGTCGTTATAATAGACCTTAGAACAAGGACTTACCGTAATATTTTCTGTCATTGTATATATATATATACATATGTAAAGTGCGTCATTTTGTGTACTCACCTATAGACGATCCAATTTTACCTTTCTGCTGTTTATGCCTCAATGTTTAACTTGGTATTACCTTAAACTGCTCAGCTAACTATTTAACGACACGCGACGTCCCACAGAACTACTCCCACTGCACGTGATAACACGAACTGAACTTTGAGTCGAAGAGAGGAATGAGTAATGAGTGCTTTGTTCCTCGAAATTTAACAAAGAAAGTTATGTCGTCAGGTTTTGGCCATGTTTTCACGTGATTTTCGATTTTTTTTCTATAATTAATCATAATATTATCACAGCTATAAAAATTTCTTATTGCCTTCATTTATATCATAATTTTCATTTAAAAAATTCCCCTCGATGATTCAGCCGTAAGCCTGAGGGCTTAGAACGCTAAAAAAATCGGGTTTTCTTACCCGCTACCCGCGGTGGATAGAAGGGTAAACAAACGTTAGAATAAAGATTTAAAACAATAGAATTCCGCGATGCATACTGCTGTTAAAAATACCTATCTATTCAAGAACTATCAGTTTTGAATGTATAACAATAACAAAATTACATTTTTTGTTCCTTCTCATATGATTATGCATATTTCACTTTTAAGTTTTATGTTTAATAAGAAGGTAAAAAAGTAAAAAAAAGCATACTCTTCGCGGTTCTTTTTTGTTAGTTTGTTTGTTTTTTATGTTTAATATTATTATCTACTGTGCTAAGAAACTTTACGAGAACGGTAGAACATTCAGGAGGCCCGGCATGGCCCGGTGGTTAGGGAGCTCGACTCGCAATCTGCGGGTCGCGGGTTCGAATCCCCGTCTCACTAAACATGCTCGCCCTCTCAGCCGTGGGTGTGTTATAATGTGACAGTCAATCCTACTATTCGTTGGTAAAAGAGTAGCCCAAGAGTTGGCGGTGGGTGATGTTGACTAGCTGCTTTCCCTCTAATTTTACACTGCTAAATTAGGGACGGCTAGCACAGATAACCCTCGTGTAGCTTTGCGCAAAATTCATATCAAACAAGAACGCTCAGGCACTGGATTCGTTTGTTTTGAATTTCGCGCAAAACTACTCAGGAGCTATCTGCACTAGCCGTCCCTGATTTAGCAGTGATATACTAGAGGGAAGGCAGCTAGTCAACACTACCAACTCTTGGACTACTCTTTTACCAATGAATAGTGGGATATACAGTACATTATAATGCCCCCACGGCTGAAAGGGCGAGCATGTTTGGTGACGGGGACTCGAGCCCGCGATCTTCACATAGGCACTGGTAGTCTTAATAAATGCTGATATATATTAAGTGTTACGTATCCGGCTAAATCATGTGTTATTGAAGTACAAGACTTTTTGAAATTACAATGCATTTTTCTCAATCGATTTGATGCAGTAATATGTCGTAACACAAGGTAATTTCATGTTATTCTCTGATACGAAATTGTAACCTAAGTTTGCAACACTAAGCTTACATCAAGGTGCTCATAATTCCATGCCAAATGTTTAAGCTGATTTTTTTACTATATTTGTAAAAATCAATATCATTTCTAAAATAACAACAGAATACAGATAATTTTCAAGATGTAATATAACACTACTTTTTTCTCTCATAAATCATGATTGTGTTTCGTGTTGTTTTTGCCTCATCTATGAAATTAAGCATACTTTTGAGGAATCTTGAAATGAGTTTTAGCTTTTTGGCCTTAAGGTGATCTTGGATGAAACTAATATATATGTGTTTTGTTTTCACAAGTGATTCAAACTATCAAATGTATGAAGAAAGTTTAAAAAGTACAGAAGTACCCTCTAGAACATAAAAATAAAATTTGCTGAATATATATAAGCTGACGTAAAATGATTTTAACACATAAAAAATTAATACAAAATTACTCAAACACAAAAATTTAATATTTATTATAGTATTAGAAATTCTAAAGAGATGGCAGCACGTTCATTTGAATGTTAGGTTATTCTTTGATAAAATTGTGTTTGAACTAGAGCGTTTTCAAATAAGGTTAGTAAGATTACACGTACAAAGCTATAAAGTCTGATGGTTTCTTAGGAGGATAATAAGAGAATACGAAATACCTACACTTCTGTGATTTGCAAAGAACGTTTGAAAGCAGAAATTGCTCAAATGAATTAAGGGACAGTTCCGTTACTTACGGGCTTAATAGCAATTTCAATTATTTTCACATAGAATGTTCTGGTATGTTAGTGGCAACAGATGAATGAAGTTGTTATCAAAGACCTTACAAAAACAAAATATTTTAAAACTATGGTTAAGGTTTTCTTTGATAAACTTAATTCTGTTATTTGCTTAAAATTATGATAAAAGCATAACTATTCCGTCAATGTTTGATAGAAGTGTAAGGAAAACAGGTTATCGCTAAATAAAAAAGCTATGTAAGGCTAGCTATCAAACTTGAAAAAAAGGAGCTAAGCAAGATAGGGATGGAAGTGGACATATCACTTGGTCGGCTAATGATTACATAGCAGACTCAGCTTTACATGTAGAAGAAAATCCATACATTATTGGTTTTCCCACTTTGTTTATCGAAAGCTTCGTGTTTGAATAGAATCTCAGCTTTCACAATCATACCTTTCCTTTAGTTAACTTAAGAATACTACTTCTGTGACTATTTTACAATAGAGTAACATTTTACGACTGGAAATTCTGGTTGTATTTGTTTTGCCAGTGAAACAGTTATGTTTTCTGGAGTAATAGGTCGTATTTTCTTAATATTTTTAACAATTATCCAGGTTGTAATACAAACTTTAAACTCTCAAGTTATAGTGACTTGTATGACTGAAATATGTTCTTTTGCAGATTCTATAATTAAAGCTAGTTTGTGTCCAGCTTATACAGCATCAAAAGAGTAATATCTACATCAGAGCGGTAGCCATTCATTTTTGCGCCCTGGGCAAGTTCCACGAACTGCCCCCCCCCCACCTTGCAGAACAAATTTGTTATTCATTGTGCTATTACATCAAAATGAAGTGTTTTCATAACATAGGATAGTTAATAAATCTATTTTAAAGATAATTACTAGAACATATATGAATTACCTAACAAATCTGAGTTTTTACTTTACTTTACAGCAATGACAGATACAGTAAAAACCCAATCACCCTGTCGAGCATGTATCCTGTAATGTTTGGTAGCCAATAGAATTTTAGAATGTCCCGGAACATTGGATATACTATTTCTCGAGTCTTCTTATTCCTTTCCCTAAAAACATATTACAAAAGAAACGTGCAGCTAAATAAGATGGTAAATACCACAACACTAGAAAATATAAAAATAACTATAATATATGTTATAACTTAAAAACGAGACGACGTAGTTGAAAAATAAGGAGTGAAGGCGGGAACTTAAGCCCCATACTAAATAGATCAAGTTATCTTGTTTAATTCGGATGATAAGTTCAAATGGTAAGTTTTTATTCCCTTTTTAGTCTGTATAGTTCTGCATAAATTATTGAATAACAGGCTCACTGCTCGAACTGCACCCTCCCACCCTACCCTAGCTATGGCTTTCATCTACATAATTAAGATCAATTTGAATATTTCCATATATTACTAACATCCGGGACGATGCGTATAAGTGGCTTGGGAAGGCTTAGCCTTCCCAAATAGGCGACGAGAGATAATTAATCTCTGACTGCCCGAGGGGTAACCTCCCCTTGAACAACTTTGTGGACAAACAAACAGCCACCCCAAATAAAATGTCTCTTACAATGTATTATTCTCATCAACCCAAAATATTATATAGAACATGTGACAAAATAGCCTACCCAAATAAAAGACCCACACGCTGCCTACGTCAATATCCTCTCTAATAAAAGTAGAAGCAAAGAAGGAAACTAAAAGCCAAGTAATTTCACCCTCTCGATACGGGTAGGTCAAAATGCACATGTTACAATATCTTACAGAGTTATATTTAACATTCAATTTAACTATTTTAAAATCAACGTATACGAAGAAAGTTGGCATCAAAACGTAGTTGATAAATCAAATTTTAATATTATTTAAGTGTTAATTATTTTTATTTTAAAAGAAAATATTTGGGTAAATTCTCAATCTCCCCCTGTATGTATATCATGATATTTATTCTTCCGTCTTGCCCATTCTTTAGTTGTTCATGATATCTCTTTGATGTCCTGATATTTATTATATTATTAATATTACAAAGGCGTATTCTAATGTCTTATAGCTTTCAATTTTCGTTGTTTACTGAGATATAAACAAGAAAGTCAAACATACAAGCCACGTCCTCCTATCTCATCACCTCTCTCACAAATTGCCAATAATAAATTCTCTTTGAAGTTTGTTATTACATCATTTATAACGAATAGAAACACAAAGGTCTAATCTGCCAAATAACATATATGCTACCTTTTCTCAGTGGAAATTGTTAGTTATGTCACTACAGTTGAAAAGCTGATATTGCCGAGTTGAGTAGCTAAAGAAATTATTTTAAGGTACTTATACCTTAGTTAGAAAGCCAGTTAAATTATAACAGTTATAGGACATTATTTGATTTGTGCGTATAATTGTTTACTGTTATAAAATGCATACGTTAAATAAATAAAAAGTATTTAATGTACTAATGCCATCAATACAAAAAAGTAGGCTTAAGTTTCATCAGTAGGCTGACAAGAAAAAAAACTAAAACAAGATGCCAAATGTGAGTTACAAAAATTTAAAAAAGTTGGAAACTTACTACGTTAGATTAGGTAAGATAATGATAACAAATATTAATAAAAATCTCTCGTGCGTTACGTCATTCAATATAATAACTTGAGCTACATGGTCTCCGAGTGATTTACAATTTTATCGCGGATTATTAGTTAGACATGGTTTAAAATTAAAGGACAATAAAACAATGAAATTAAGTAGAAACAGATGTAGATTATTATCAGCCTTAAACTATTTAGGAGAAACAATCGTAGTTTTTCTGTTACGATCTGAAGTTATTCTAGAAAGAAAAAATAGTTTAGATTTATTTCGTATTTTTGTGGTGGTTACAATACAAGGACGGTCAAATCGACCGAGTCCGTATAGTGTTGGGATAAAGAAAGTAGCAGACAAAACATAAAGTTTTGGTAAAAAAAAACAAAAAAACGTTTGATGTTAATGTACGAGGTTTTAGAGGTTAAATGAAAATTTAAAGCTGTAACATGAATACTCCATATATTCACAGACAAATTTTTAGTATAAATATTTGATTAAAAAGTTTATATTTTTTGTGTACAAACGACTTGCAATATTTACTAAAAGCTTGCCAAACTTCGTGAAGATTTACGCATTACGTTAAAAGTTATAGAATGGGTAATTTCATGGTTATCTGATTATTACAAGGTCGGTCAAAATGACCGAGCCTGCATCGAGAGAGTTTATAGTATTCAACAAAAACTTTACAAACATTTTACTTACCTTTAATACATCAGTTAAAACTAAATTCTTAGCTTTTCTACAATTCTGTAAATCTCCTGTCCTATATGTCAGTTTAAATATTTTAAACTTATGATATCTACCGCTGATTATCTCTTTAGTAAGCCAGTAAAGCTTGCAGTTATTTTTTATCCTTAGTAAGCAATTAACTTTGATCCTTCCAAAAACATATATTTAAAAAGATTTACAAATCTCACATCAGTATTTTTCTACCAGTTTATTCCAAATTTCTATAATACTCCTTGTCTCATGACTTCAAAATTGGTTTCTGAAAATTAGGAACTAAAATTAAATATTTCTTCATCTCAAAATGAGGCAAAACATCAAACCTAATTAAGCAAACCGAGATGGCGCTGAAGGTCTGAAAAGTTTGCTTAAGATTCAAAGATGTAGGTTTTATTTATTGGCATTACAAGAAGACTAAACTGAATAATCTTTTTCAGCTTAGTTCGCAAGTCTTCAACGAAATGTTGCGTTTATCACAGTATGGTGAAGGTTAAAGATCTGTTTAAACAATTGTTTCTATATTTATTTGCTTGTTTTTGCTTCATTAGAAAATATTGAAGACATCCACTCTTTTTTTGTACGATTTTTTTTCTTGGTGATTTAATGTTTCTTTATTCATTTAATTATTTTCTCAGTAATTTAATTTACTTCTGGCTTACGTGTTAACATAAAGAATGACAAACCTTTTAGTGTATTTCGTACATCTAATAATATAGGAAGAGACTTAAATAATATTATTGGTGTTTATAGATAGTCTAAAAGATTGAACCGTAAGATACGTAAGTAATATCATTGGTGTTTAGAGACAGTCTGAAAGATTGAATCATTTACGTTGTTATGAACAAAATATTGAAAATAGACAAAGAGATATCACCAAATTTAATACTGTATTGCATGCATTATGAAAATACGGTGGAAAATTATGTTTCCGTTTGAAATTCTTACTTAAATATGTGTATACTGCACAAAAAAATAGTTTCATTAAATATATTTTAGTAAGCTATAAATGGGTAAGTTACCTAGAAGCAACACTATTCAATTGAAGAACCAACAAAAATAATTCTATAGTTTATTTAGAACGTTACCTGGAAGTAAAAGCATTCAACTACAGAACTGAAAGATTTGTATGCGTATCAATTAAAAAAGGTTTGTTAGCTGTACTTCACAATGTGCAATAGAGGACTAAGGACTTAAAATGTAAATACTTTAATCTAGGTTGTATAAATTATACTAATATTATGTTTAAAATGAAAAGATATTTATTTTACAGCTCTAAAAACGGTATTTCTAAATTAAAACGTACAGTGTGTAGTAAAAGCTATGTCGACCAAACAGAGAACATAAGATATAAAATGTTTGTTTGTAATTAAGCACAAAGCTACACAATGGACTATCTGTGCTCTGCCCATCACGGGTATCGAAACCCGGTTTCTAGCGTTGTAACTCCGCAGACATACCGCTGTTCCACTGGGGGCAATAAAGTGAAGCTTGAGTGACGTCATGCACATCATCTGGTTTGTTTGTAGTGTAAGAACAAAGTTACACAAAGGGCTAACTGTGCTTAGTCCACCACGGGCACCGAAACCCGGTTTCTAGCGTTGTAAGTCCGCAGACATACCGTTGTGCTACTGGGAAGCGGCGATATAAAATGATCAGCATAAGTTTCAAGTTAGAAACTCAAGTCAGAGTTCATTTCATTTTACTACTTTAGTTTTGTGATCATCAACAACAAAAAAATATTTTACGAGAGTTATTTTGTAATAAAAATTAAAGTACTTTTAATATAAGTTTAATAAAATGTGGATTCTTAACGTTTCGAAATGCGTTAATTACTTACAAATTTTAATTGTCTATGGATTTTACATAATGCATAATTATTACTTATCATATATTTTGAAAATATTTTATTGTGATTTTAGGAGTTTTTTATGTATTTTTATTTGGATACATGTGACATGTTAAAGATTATGCAAAATTTATGTATTGTATAGTATTTTAGGTACTATTGTTTTTAATTTAATTGGCTGAATAGCAGCCTGTAAACTGGGAAATCGCAACCAACCATGACCCAGAATACAAATAAAGACTAAGTTGAACCTGGTACTGCTTTGAATTCATGTATTTATATTAAGTATGCTTGAGTAACAAATATACAGTTTTTTATATATATTTACGTATATTTTATTTTTTTCATATTCACGGAACTTTTAGGAAACAACACACGTGATTGGCAATTACTAGATTCCTCAATAAAAACATATTTTGTTGTGCAAGGGTTAAATCATGTGTGTGAAGGGTTAAATCATGTGTGTGAAAGGGTTAAATCATGTGTGTGAAAGGGTTAAATCATATGTGTGAAAGGGTTAAATCATATGTGTGTGTGTGTGAAAGGGTTAAATCATGTGTATGAAAGGGTTAAATCATGTGTGTGTGTGTGTGAAGGGTTAAATCATGTGTGTGTGAAAGGGTTAAATCATGTGTATTATCTGATTCCACTTAAGTTCTTTTTTTTTAAAGCATGTAACTTGTATCGGAAACGTATTTCTATTGAAAGACTAGTGCAAACGTTGAAACGACCCATGTCGCAATTTTATTGAATTCAGAACTGGGTGAACACAAGGATACAAACGAAATATTTCAAAAAAAAATGAAAACGAAAAGAATTAATACAATTACTTTTTATTGATATAATTATCTAAAACATCTTAGTTATATACATCAAAACTATTTTTATACAATCTTTAGTGTACCAATAATGTTATATATACATACATGAGCGTTTATATTTATGGCCGTCGCTAATTTTGAGCTACTGACCAGATGGAAGACAGCTAGCCAATCAGCAGCATCCCACCACTCACCATCTATGCTATAGGATTGAATGTTACTCTTATAATGCACTCGCACCATAAAATGAGGTACTATTTTGTGGTAACGCACGGATTCGAGTCCGGCTCGCCAGCCCCGAAATCCAGAGTTCTACCACAGAGTAGCGCCCTTGTACTTAAGCAATGAATAGAACAAGTTATTGAATTACAACTACTTTTATTGTACATAAACAGAAGAGGGGATATCTAAAAAAAGAAACAATTTAAGGGAATTAACCAAATCAAAATATCAACTCGGCATAAATGTATAGTTTGAGTAAATATTACTGACAAATATGAATAAATGTCTGATTATTTCCGATATATTGAGTAATATAAACACTTAATTTTCCTTATAGAATATTAACATTTGTGTTGTGCTGTTTATTTCACTGCCTTATAATCAAAATAATACTTATCTGTTACTCATTAAGAAAAAACAAAATGTATTTTCAGTTAGGCCTCACAGTAATACACGTAACTTCTGCTACATTCTATTTATAACTATAAAAAATGTTGCAATGCGTGTAAACATTATACATAGCATCTACTCTCATCTCTGTTGCTAAGATTTAATCGAAATAATTTCACCTGATTACACTCTACGCAACAAGTTAGTTTACTCTAACATAAAGACACTTGAACGAATAATAACTCAACAAGCACACAGATAAGATTTATATGTCTAAAAAGAGAGGGCGCAACGAGCATACGCAAAAGCAGCTGTGAATAACAAGGTTGTTGACAGATCCTAAAAGAATATTTCGGTCCCCGTCCATGTATACAAATTGCCAGGGTTTCATTTTCATTGGCTTGCAAGTCCAGTTCTATAATTTATTGATGAAAAAAAAGTAAGGAATCAAAATGTGAAAAAATACTGAAATGACATAACTGAAAATACGTAAATAAAACAACTACAACAAAATCGCCCCCAGATCATCGATTCTCCTACACACGACTGACTATTACATTTAAAGAAAAACTGGTTACACTTACAACGACAATAAAACAAGAACAACCAAAAACTCCCTTCTTGTGGAAGCACTATTTAAAAGAAGCATAAGAAATAATTATGTTTTTACAGTTATTAAACATTATGAAGTGTCGTTGTTACTTCTTGACTTTCTCTAAGACCCTCAGATCGGGAATGAAGCGCCCTAACCACCTGGCCATGCCCCGCCCCCACGTTTTTAATAATAATAATAATAACTTTTAATAACTAATAATAATAATCATTTACTTGTGAGAATGATCTGGAATCAATTTCATTTTTAGTTGTAGTTTTATTTATCTAGTAACATAAAACACCTATCATAGAGTTAAATAAATCTTTTATTTGCTAATATTTGGCTAATTATATTATATTATATTTTTTATATTATATTATTTTTTCATTTTGTTGAAGAATGTATTTACTTCAAGTTTATTTGCTTTTTACTCCTTGATTAATAGCAATAAGTGCAAATGTGTTGATGTAATATGATAGTGTTTGCTTATAAACTGTATAAAATGATTTTATGAGTTAATTTTCAAACTTAATTCAAAATAATTATCGGTATTTTGCTGTATTAAAATAGGCAGCTTGCAAAACTTTGGTTTATAAAAAAGTTTAACATAATCGCATTTTCAACAAGCAGTTTGTAACACCCTGAATAACCATAGTTTTTTTCTTTTCAAAACTGCGGGAAACATAGAAATTGGAAAAAAATATATTTATGGCATAATCAGTTTGCAAGTGTGTACTGAAATGCAACAAGAATTTTTTTTAAATGTTTGCAGTATAAGTACTTTACAATTCTGCGAATCACAAAAGAGCAGTTTGCAAAACTCCGGTATTATAGGTGTATTTTGCAAAACTATGGTATAACATGAGTATTTCGCAAAACTCTGGTACAATAGGAGTATTTCGCAAAACTCTAGTATAACAGTAGTATTTTGCAAACTCTGGTACAGTAGGGGTATTTTGCAAAACTATGGTATAACATGAGTATTTTGCAAACTCTGGTACAATAGGAGTATTTTGCAAAACTATGGTATAACATGAGTATTTCGCAAAACTCTAGTATAACAGGAGTATTTTGCAAGCTCTGGTACAGTAGGGGTATTTTGCAAAACTATGGTATAACATGAGTATTTCGCAAAACTCTGGTATAACAGGAGTATTTTGCAAACTCTGGTATAACACGAGTATTTTGCAAATCTCTGGTATAACACGAGTATTTTGCAAAACTCTGGTACAATAGGAGTATTTCGCAAACTCTGATATAACACGAGTATTTTGCAAAACTCTGATATAACAGGAGTATTTTGCAAATTTCTGGTATAATAAGGGTATTTTACAAAAGCATCTGCCTCTTTTTAAACGTTCTGTAAAACTTTTAACTATTTTAGATATTGTGCAAAAGTCTTGTTTTGTAAACTTCTTGAATAAATGATGTCTTCATTATTTGGTATTCTATTGTTATCTCATAAAGGCCTCTCAAAGTTATTAATACATATATGTGTGTGTACCTTGTTCATCTGACGACAGAGTTCTTCAGGTTGGACCTTGCCGAATACCTTTTTATAACACGTATTTAAACAAGTAAGGCCTGTCACTTCTTTAGGGAAAAGTACAGTTTTCCCTTTCACAATATCACCTGTAAAGAAAACAGAAAGCTATGTGAAAGAAGGTCTCACTGAAAAGACTGCCTTGAAGTAAAGCTAAAAGCCAATTAATGATTTGTTACTGACAGTAAGTCATTCTTATCTTCTAGCCCGACATTAAAAGAGGCGAAAAAAAGCATGATGCCAGAAGAAAAAAATTGGAATTTGCAACATGAATGGCATCTTATGCGCATGTGGACTAAATGATCAGGACAGAGACTACAAGGATTCATGACTCTAATGTTGAACTACTGACCAGAGGGAAAGCTGCCAGCCACTAGTACCTACCACCAAGGGCTTTGTCCGGTTTGCTTTTTTTACAAAATAACGTAACTGGTTGATATTTTTTTACTAAGCTTCCCTAGTTAAAAGTGTGGATCGTGTTTACAAGCATTGAGTCATGAACCCTAGACCACTTTCTTTGTAGCCTGTCATGCTAACCACCAGCCACATCCGGTCTGCAATGAAAAACGGAACAAAGTCATCTAACTAGATTAGATAATTACAAAGTTTTAACCACTGAAATAGGGCTCTGTCATATTTCAATGACATATTTTCAAAAAGCAGAAACTGCTTTGGTTTGTTTCGAATTTCGTACAAAGCTATACGAGGGCTATTTGCGCTAGCCGTCTCTAATTTAGCAGTGAAAGACTAGATAGAATGCAGCTAGTCATCATCACCTACCGCCAACTCTTGGGCTACTTATTTATCAACGAATAGTGGGATTGACCGTCATATCATAACGCCCTCACGGCTGAAAGGGCGAGCATGTTTGGTGGGACGAAGATTCGTACCTTTGACCTGCAGATTGCGTGTCGAACGCCCTAACCACCTGGCCATGCCAGGCCCAATAGAAACTGTAGATGATTTAACTATACATAGTGTATGCCAGGCCCAACAGAAACTGTAGTTGATTTAACTATACATAGTGTATGCCAGGCCCAACAGAAACTGTAGATGATTTAACTATACATAGTGTATATATATATTGCTTTCGATTTGCATGACCTAGATTCTAAAAAGAACAGCATAGTTTTAAACTCCTATTTGATATAAAACGATAGTTAGTGATATTTATCAAACAATAACTTGTTTAAGATAATAAAATGTTTAAGATCTTCATATTAAACTTTATGTTTTTTGTAAAAAGATAGAAATATGAAGTATATTCGACTACGACATTCCAAATCAATGTACTTGTTACTCTGTAGTCTTCAGTATTAACATCACAGTTCTCATAAACAACAGAATTGAAATGAGTCTCATCATCGACATTTTCTTCAGCTTGTCTCTTGCTCAATGTGTGGATCGTTGCCTGCGGCTCTTCAGTTTGGGTAAATTCAGGGGACATCTCAATCGTTCGAATGTCCAGCGTAGGAAAAGTTTCGTTTCCAAAGAGAGCGGTGTCGTTCTCTTCCATGTCTAAATAGAGTTCCTCAATATTTGGAAACGGTGACTCTATCGTTGCTGTTGTATTAGCTCAAAGAAGTGAAAAATAAAGTTAAAAAAAATCAGTAATATCAAAAATCAAATCATTTCAACTATACAGTCGTTTAAAATCGTAAGCAAAAGAATATTAGGCACTTCCGAAAAACATTAATTAATCTGCAAGCATTATCCAACTTACTCCGATCATGCGTTGTGAATTTATGTTAAGATTGCTACAAAATAAATGAAAGAGATAAATTGAATATCAATATTTTTGTTAAAAGTTAATCTCTTAAGAGATAGGCTAGTTGTGCTCTGTCTACTATGGGGAATCGAATCCCGGATTTTAGCGTTGTAAGTCCATAAACTTACTGCTGACTCATCGAGAGACAACATAGTTTGTTTGCTTGTGGTTAAGCATAAAGCTACACAGTAGGGTAAGCGTGCTCTGGGTCAATCGATTTTTAACATTACAAGCCCTCAGACTTACTACTGAACGGCTGAGGAAGGGGGTAGAAGGATCAAGACTGATAAGATGTAGAAAAGTTTACTTTAAGAAACACATGTTGTTGAACTGATCTTAGTCAAACGAATATAATACCAATATGGCTAACATCTTACTTCAGGTCAAAAGCAGAACAATCATAACTTACCATCTTCCTTGTCACATTCCAAATTCATTCAGGCTAACATTTTACCTGAGGTCAAAAGCAGGACAACTCTGTCATAACTTACCATCTTCCTTGTCACATTCCAAATTTATTAAGGCTAACATCTTACCTGAGGTCAAAAGCAGGACAACTCTGTCATAACTTACCATTTTCCTTGTCACAGTTCGAATTTATTAAGGCTAACATCTTACCTTAGGTCAAAAACAGGACAATCATAACTTACTATTTTCCTTGTTACATTCCAAATTCATTAAGGCTAACATCTTACCTTAGGTCAAAAACAGGACAATCATAACTTACCATCTTCTTCGCCCCAGTTCAAATTCATTAAGGCTAACATCTTACCTTAGGTCAAAAGCAGGACAATCATAACTTACCATCTTCTTCGCCACAGTTCAAACTCACAAAGAATAAGTTCGGGTTGTGGCTTCTTTCGTACGAATCTTCTACCTCAATCTTGAAGCCATAGTTTCTCTGTGGCATCTTTGACCAGTATTGAAAAGACGAAGTAACATCAAAATCAACCCAGCCTTGGTAGTTACCCGCTATTATCCGGGAGTACAAGTACATCTTGTCATCTTAGAAAAAGACAGTACAGACCTGAGTACACGTTAATTCGGCAAAGTATAAGTATCATTTATTGAATAATCTTTCATTTCATTGATTAAAAACTTTACTATTAAGTTTTAATAATTTTCAGCTTCGAGGAACTGATGCAATTTTTTTTTTTTTTACTCTTTAACTCTTATGTAAGTTTTAAGTAATATCGTCTATTTATTTTACATTAAATATTCAATCACGTGAAAAGAAAAATAACATCCTATATTATTGAACTACATGTTTTAAACAAGTATTACCTAGGGAGTCCATTCTTGTCAATGGCAGTACATTTCCAGAAATATTCATCTAAATTTTATAAATTCCATAGACACAAAATCATATTCGCGTACTTAGTTTAGTTCGTACCATAACAACTGTTGTTCATGAAAATTGATAACATAATTAATGCGTAGACCACTACTATATCTGTCGCATCCCAACTGGTCTGATGAGCTCTGGTATTAAGCGAAAGACCTCGTCGGTGCCTCCCAGTGGCACAGCGATATGTCTGCGGACTTACAACGCTAGAATCCGCGTTTCGATACCCATGATGGGCAGAGCACTTTATGCATAATTACAAACAAACAAACCTCGTCGGCACACGAAATTGCAAATGTTGTGTGGTTGACATTGTTATTTGCTATCACTCGTATGTCCTTAGAATTATTTTGTCAGGAACTCCTTCGTTTGTTTGTTTGTAATTAAGCACAAAGCTACACCACGGGTATCGAAACCCGGATTCTAGCGTTGTAAGTCCGCAGACATACAGCTGTGCCACTGGGGGGGGGGCAACTCCTTTGTTAATTCATGGAAAACAAAGCATATTGTTTTGCATGATATACTGTAGGTTAACAAATATTTTGTACACACTTCTTTATTTTGCATCTTCTACTCTTTATCATCTTTGGAGTAGGTTTGTTGTGTTTTAATCGTCTACAATATAACTTTACAATTGACTTGGAGCATAATAGTAAAACATAATACATTATGCGTAATAGTCTGCCTTAAACAGCAAGAAGCTTCGATGAATGACGATTTGTTTTTTTAGGCCAATCTAGTTGGAGTTGCATGACTAAATTCATGACCGAAACTGGTTTCGGGAAATCTGTCCATAACTACTCGAATCAAAACTGTTGTTCTTGTATGTGTAAAGCAACGTAAAAAACTCAAAGCAAAACAAGGCTGTTCATACAATACAATATGTCTGTTTTTAATGTTGGTCCCTATTGGGTCAGCGGTAAGTTTACGAACATACAACGATAAAATTCGGGGATAGACTCCTTGTGGTGAACAGAGCACAAGTAGCCTACTGTATAGCCTTGTCTATAAAACAAACAAACGAGAATTTATATTGCTACGGTGAACGGTAACTGAAAACGACTGTATTTTTAAATTTAAATTTCATTCCAAGAACGATCTTTGCAATACAATGACTAATCCACGTGTGCTCACAATGACTGAATAATGAACTGTAATAGATGGCCAGAAAGGATTGGTTTACTAGCTTTACGCACAGACATACAACTCTCTTATTCCGTTCTCCTGAGGCAACATCATTGATGAGTGTGTCTGCTTTCAGTAGACATACAGTGAATGAGTTCTTCAATCTTTTGGAAACAGTTATAAATGATAAGAACATTGTTGGAAGAAGAATATATAATCTAGACGAATCTGGATTTACTACAGTGCAGAAGGTTTCAAAGGTTTTATGCAGTAAAAGCCAGAAACAAGTTAGCCAAGTGGCGTCGTGTGAATGAGGTGAACTTGTAACAGTTTGTGCCATCGTTTCTGCAACTGGAATAACACTGCCCACAGCTCTGATATTCCTTAGGAATACTAAAAAGATAATAGCAACAAAGAACAAGTTGCATGTGAATTAAGTATTTTCTGGGTACCTTGGTCTTTTTTACTAAAAAACATTAAAAGTAGTCAAGCTTTAATTGTACAATTGCGAGGTTTTATAATTTCGGGTAGGGTAGGAAAGGTTCTACCTTTTGTACCTAGACAAAAGTTGGACGTGTATACACAAAGCTTGAATAAGCGTGTGAAGACCGATAGTAACTGTCGAGGAAAATTCAATTTAAGATCATAACGGGTGATACACATAAAAAAGAGCCTAAATCTTGACATAGGTTGCACGCTCTACGTATTCAAAACATTCACGATTTATGTACGAATAAAAATATAAAAATACTGGCAATTCTTATAGTATTTTGGCACTTGTGTATAAAGTTAAAATCATAAATAATATTCAACGTTAAACTGGTACACAATTTTATTTAGGCCTATCTATGGCCTTCAAAAAGTTGACGACTCTACATGTTTCGACGTTACAACTCCTGAGGGGTGGGTGTTCTATGTGGACATTTTCGTTATAGTCATCCTTGAATGTTAAGAGAAATGCAGAATTTCTTGCATTAATATCTGAGGTAAATCCAAATGATTTCATCCCCTGTTCAAGTTTGCACTGAAAATATACCATAATGGTTAAAAAATGGTTCGTTTGCTTAAGTGCAAAGTTGCAAAATTGCCTTTCTGCACTGTACCCGTTCCAGCGATCGAAACCCGAATTTTAGCGTTATAAGCTTGCAACAAACTTCTTCCAAATTACTTGTTCATAGAAATAATCTTTGGAAGAAATAAGTATTTCTTTAGTTTTTTAACCATGTGTTTTGGTTGAGGATAATATTATTTACAAAAAAAGCCGTAGAAAGCGGTAAGGCCAGTCAGGCCATGGCCTGACCACTTTTTCATGGCATGTAGAGCTATAAGTTATGTATCAAAATTTGCTTATTTTAATTCAATACATTACGTCGTGTGTATGCAGTACTTATAGTTAAAATGGCTCAAAATTCAACCTCATAGCATTAAATTTTCAAACATTTTTATGGGAAGCATGCCCTCATATCCACCGAGAAATGGCATGCCGTTAGTGTGTTTGTTTGTTTGT